AACTTTGGGGTTGGGGTGTTCTTTGCTGCACTTTTCTTTTTTGCTTCTTCAAGTTTTGTAATGCCACTTGTAAATCAGACCTTCTCGCTCTCATTGTCGCGTGCTTCTTTTCTTTTCTGTAAAGAAACCAAACCCTTTGTTGATGTGTATTGATCGGGACTACTCCCACTGCCAAGATGCCTTTTGTGCATGCAACCCTTTTCTAGAATCATCTCTTTTATCATCTAATCTGCAAATTTCACCATCGGAGTATAAATTATGATTACAAGTTTGGAAATAACATCAGAATCTGACTAAAATCTTCTCAATCAAAGAAAGTGCTTCTTGTTCTTACATCTTGAAGGAGGAATTGAGATTTACAAACAGGAACGACCACCTCTGTCGGGCTTTCTGCACAGCTGCGGCTCGGTTGTATCTTTGTGCAGATGAAGATTAGCTTTAACGAAGTTCACAACAACTGAAGCCAATTCATCTTGGTGAGCAGTATATTCATGATCAGCCCCTTCCATGATGCATAGAACATGATTTGCTATGGACTTGGAAAACTCGACAGCATCTTCAGCTGGTACAATTTTATCCATTGATCCATGAACCGTCAAAACCCTGAAGAAGAAAAGTGAATAAAAATGAAGAATCAAGCAAATCTAAAGTGGGGTTTCTCTTGCTTTTCATATTAGCGGGTTCCACCGTCCTCCACTACAAACACCACTTTCCATCCGACTTACCTACATCACGGTTAATATGTGCTAATTGGATAAGTTATTAAGGATATGGCTCATACCATTCGAGGTGGCCCAGCCCAGCATTCATTCCATTGTCATGATCCTAAAAGAAAGGATTAAATAGAAGAGCTACATTCCTCACCTACAGTCACGCTGAATTGCTGAGCATGCTGCATGAACCTCGGTAGTTAGTCGGTCCATTAAACTTTCTTCAGTGACACGATATTCGATCTTCCCTGATTACAAAAACATGAAATAAAAGAAATTAGTTTCTAATTATAATGAGGAAGCTGGAATGTTTCTGTAAAGCAGAAACGGAGAAGATCACTTAAGAACTTGTGTCATTTTGTGGAATCTCGGTGATGTTGAAACAGAAACTAGAATTTGATGGCTTACCTCTTCTATTCTGGACATCAATAAACCCTTTTTGCTTAATTCTTTGCAAAAAGTCTTTACCTAAGCGACCTTCAATCCCTCTTTCAAGGTTAAATCGGCCAGATATATTAACAACTGTATGAATGTCTCTATACTTTGAGGCATACAAGAGAACTACATTCCCCCCTGCAACAAAATAACAAGTAAATTGGCGGTTACCATATGTTCCTTGCCATGGAAATGTTTTCAAAGTGCTGATTATGTCTTCAATAAATTATACAAACTCCCAAATTTGCACTTTATACTAGATTCATTTCACCAGAATGAGCAAGGATAAAGACCTTTACTGTGTCCAATTATTGCGGTCACTGTATGTTCCTTTCCATGGAAATGTTGCACAACAGCACGTAAATCATCAGCTTCTCTGCGGTAGTTGCCATACTGGAATGAACCTTCACTTTCTCTGCCAAACATAGAACAAAAAAGTAGTTTGGGTGCTCGATTGTATACAATCACGATCAAATTGTACGCAACTGGGAATTTCTATGGCATAGCATGGTTTTCCTTGTAATTAGAACATAGAGCATTTTTAAGCAATAATTTTTAGATACGTGAGAACTTAGACAACGTGGTTGTCCGTTGCTATCTAAATTTGAGACTGAGGATAAATGTTTGTATCAAATGATATTATTCCTAATGCCCACAATAGCCAGAGAAGCAGACCCAAACCTGTATTTGAAACAAATCATAGAATAAAAAAGAAAACAGAAACCAAAACTATAACAATAACCTTCTTTTCTTAAAGATTGTTGCTCGGATTCAATAAAAAAAACACATTATACATAGTTAATATGCACTATAGCATGCAAGATACATGGGAATAAAGACGGTCTATAAAGAAGAGTTTCCACTGAAGTTATGGACATATAAACATGGAGAAGCTTTGATGGTATTATACTTCTTCAAGAAACTTTTAGAAACTTCAGCTTTGGAGCAAATAAATATGCTTAATTCTTTAAGAATCAAAATGGTGGAAAATTGACATCGTTAAAGTAAGATATATAAGCATACAATTGTAAATTCTCACATTTACAGGAGCACCCTTCTTATTAATTAGACTGGTAAACTTCAACCATAAATTTCAAATCATAAGGTGAAGAGACGTGTTCTATGATTTTTCCCACATGCAAAACTACATTACCTCGTCCATTACCCGTCCTAAGATCTTACCCGTTTCCAGCAAAGTCAAAACGGAAAACACTCATCCCTTCTTTCTCTAAAGCAGTGGCGAGGTTCACCATAGGAATGCGATCCTACAAAAGACAGTTCAAAATATCAAGTCAACCAAGATCGAGAAGAATTTGAAAGAGAAAAGGATAGCAAGCCCTCATCATAACGAAAACTCTAATGTAATGCATCGCGAACAAATCCCAGAAATGTTAATCTTGATTCATTTGAACTCAACAACATTCTTAACAACACATTATAATTGAACATAAAAACAAAATCACAACTCAAAAACACAATGTAAAGTACCTTAAGGTAGTTTTCTCAATGGAAATGGAAAAACACATGGGAGGACACTTTCACATATCATGTGAGTCCAAGCAGACAGATAGATAATTTACTCATACAAAGAAAGAAAAGAATCGAGTCAGAACCATAAAAAAAGAATCTAATATATAAAACCTTCGAGGACTGAAATCCATGGCAAACAATAACGAGCTCGCTTGATCCGGTATCATGCAGGATTCCAACAAGCTTTTCACCATGGCTATTCTGTATTATAACTCTGTGTTGTTGAGCCACTACAATGGGAGAAAGTAAAATAAGATAAAATCTGTCTTGATGAAAAAATGCACTACGCTTGAAAAGTTCAAGCCTAATACTGATTATTAATCGTGTGCTTTAAATAACGATCAGAATCTAGAAAATACGACATGGAATAAATTATATATCATAAAACAAGGTAACATGCCACAAACTTCTCTTCCCCCTTCCTAACCGAGTAAAGTTTGGACACTGTTCTAAGTAATACTTAGTTCTAAAATTCGAATGAGATAACGATGCAACTTCACTAAAGCGCGAATCGTTCAGTTCATTTGATAGATTGAACGAGGTGTCGGACTATGGGTGCAAATACTTACTTGCGTAGATCAAACGAGGTGTCGGACTCGGCAGCAGCACTTTTACTGGAAGATCCACATCGAACGTATTGTTTAATTAGCACAATGAACACTCCAAAGATTGATCTCCTAGCAATGATCAAATAAAGAAGAAAAAAAAAAAAAAAAA